GTGTGTGTGTGTGTTTTTTTTTTTTTTTTTTTAACTTGTGCTGGAATTACAGAGTGCAAGTTAGGTGAATGCTTTAGCCCAGGAGTTTGTAAAGAGTGTGAAGGAGCACACTTTTTTGCGGAGGCAGTGTGAGCAACTGCAAAAGGAGAAGGATAAGCTGGAGAAGAAGAATAAGGAGATGCAGGAGGCGCTGGATGAGGTGGTACCAACAGTGAAGTAGTTTGAGGAGGAGAGGGATTCTCTGAGTACTAAACTCGTGTTTGAAGAGAGAAAAAGAAAGATCTTTGACAGCGAGCGCTAGGTTCAAGAGAAAGAGATAAGAAAGATGAAAGAAGCTATGGTCGAGCTGAAGAAGAATGTTCAGTTGTTGGTGCACAACGGGATGGAGGAGCATATCACCAACTTCAACAACTCCATCTTGTTTGACAACATTGTCAATCTCTAGCAGCTACAGATTGCGATCCTTGCCTTCATTGATTGCAAAAAGAAGGTGAAAGCTGAGTAACTCGAAGTGGATGTAACAAAGATCACCCTCAGCGAACAAGAGGAAGGGGTGGAGGAAAACGGTGAGAGTATGTCAGCAGACTTCCAACCTTAGATTAAGTTGAGGTGGGACCATGATGAAGAAGGACACACCGATTTTCCTCTGAACTTTGACTTCGAGTTCGTAGCAGTGGAGGAAGAGGAAGTAGAGGCAGAAGGTGCTGAACTTGAAGAAAGCCAGCCACCTCTTCCAGTGGAGGTCCATTTAGTTCCCTCTGAAGAAGAGCAGCCACCTTTCTCGGCAAATCAGCAGCCACCTCAGCCACCTCCTTCAGCGGAATAGTTAAGATGTTCATTTATTTCTTTGGGACAATTTTAATTTGAAACATTTTGTAATATTTATTAATTAATTTTAATGAAAGGTTTTTGAAATTATATGTAATGGTTGTGTTGTGGTTTATTTGTTTTTAAATTAACATAAGAACTGAAATGAAGTAAATCACTTCGAATGTGAAGTGAAATTCATTAATAAAAGTGAAGTTCAAGGAATAAATTTATTAATAAATCACTTTGAATGTGAACAGATTGATCTCAGAGATACAGACTAAGAAATTAAATAGATCTCAAAATGAAGAAGTAATAATTATAAAAAAGAATAAGACAAAGATCACTTGAAAAAAGTATATTAAGGGTAAAATTTCTTCAAGTTATTTATATTTCAGACTCTAGGAACTCTCTTTCCTTCTGCGTCTTGAAGGATATAGGCACCAGGATGTGGCACCTCAACCATTGTGTATGGTCCTTCCTAGTTTGGGGCTAATTTATCAAAATGAGTATCAAACCCTGTTAGGCCAGTTTTTCTGAGAACAAGGTTTCCTACTTTTAAGGTTCGAGGGTGGACTCGCTTGTTATAAAAGTTGGCTAGTTTCTGCTTGTATATTAGAGTGCAAAGTCGTGCTTCTTCTTTAACTTCATCAAGCAGATCAAGGTTCTCCCAAAGCAGTTGTCCATTTTGTCTTTCATCGAAATGAGTGACCCTAAAGCTTGGTACTCCTATTTCAATGGGAATGACTGCTTCGGTACCAAAAGTTAGGTGGTAAGGTGTTTTACCTATTTCATTAAGTTATAGAATATGCTTTATATGTTGTGCATATTTGATCTAGGGTAAAGCCGTAAATGAGAAAATAAGATAGAATGAAAGTAACTTGGGTTGGAATTAGTACTTGTAGCAATTCGACTCATAGTATTGTATGCCCCCCAAAGGACGTTGTTGAGCTCGTCTGCTCGCCTAGCCTTGTTCTACTTCAACCTCGGCTTTATTCCCTCTAGGATAGCTCTAGTGATAGATTCAACCATACCATTGGACTCTGGATGGCATACTGAGGTAAACTGTAGTTTGATATCGTAACTGGAGCAAAAATCTCTAAATGAACAGCAGTTAAACTCAGTACGATTATCAACCACAATCTGATTTGGGATTCCATATTTGTAGATGATTGAGCTGAAAACAAAGTCTTCGACCTTTCTAGAAGTAAGATTGGATAATGACCGAGCTTCAACCCATTTCATAAAATAGTCAACACCAACGATCAGATGGGTTACACCTCCAACCCCTTTCATGAATGGGCTTAAACGATCAAGTCCCCATTGGGCAAATGGCCACAGTGCTACCAAGTTGGTGAGCTCTTCTGTCGGTTAGTGAGTTAAATGTGCGAAGAATTGGCACTTTAAGCATCTCTGTACAAAGTGAGTAGCATCCTTACACATATTCGGTCAGTAATATCCTTGTCTAAGGACTTTGTGAGCTAAGGTTCTAGCACCAATGTGGCTTCCACACATACCTTCATGCACCTCCCGAAGTGCGTACTCAGCTTCATAAGAATTCAAGCATCGTAGGAAAAGGAGTGAAAAAGATCTCTTATAGAGGACCCCATCAATGCGTATGTATCGAGACGTTTTCTTCCTCAACCTCACCTCTTCTTACTTATCTGCAGGCACTGACCCATCTCATAAAAAAGAGACAATTGGATCTGTCAAGCTCGGTGTATTTGGGTTTGTGTTGATCTCTATCATTTTTGGCTTTATGAAGCTTGGCTCATCTAAAACTTCAACAAAAACTGATCTAAAGCTTAAGGAGCTATCAGAGGCGAACTTAGAAAGTGAATTTGCCTGTTCATTCTTAGTTCAGGGAATTTTACTTAAAAAAAATTTCTGAAATTTGCACTTCAGCTTGGTCACCAGGGCTACATACTTCATCATGACAAAATCAACAACCTCGCAGACTGAGTTGACTTGATTAACCACAAGCTGCGAGTCATTGTATACTTGTATAGCCATGACTTTCAGCTTCAATGCTAGTTGCAAACCAAGTAGCAGAGCTTCATACTCAACCATGTTATTAGTTGTATCGAAGTTAAATTTCAAAGTATGCTCACTTCGATATCCATTTAGGCCAACTAAGAAAGCACCACCTCCTGAGCCCTTGCTACTTGAGGGTCCATCAACATATAAGATCTAGCTGTTCGGCTTGGAGTTAGAATTTGGAAGAGCTAGAGTGCATTATGCGATAAAATCTACAAGTGCTTGAGCTCGAATTGCTGACCTCTATTGAAATGTTATCTCGAATTCCCCTAACTCTACAGCCCATTTAATTAACCTTCCTAAGCATTCTGGCTTTTGAAGGATATATCGAAGAGGTTGATCTATGAGGACTATGATCGAGTGTGATTGGAAATATGGTTTTAGCTTACTTGTCACGCCCCAGAACCCAAATCCGAGGCGTAACAAACGCCGTGCACTCGTGAGAGGGTCCCACAAATGCACAAGACTCAAAACTTATCCAAATCACAAACTCTATTCTCCCAAAATCTGTTTTAATACCATAAAATTCAAGGTACAATCTATCTTCCAAAAATGATAATATATATTCCATAAATCTATGTCCAACATGACTTAAACTCAAAATAATGAATCTAACTTACAAGCACAATCTAAACTCAAAATCTATATCCAAATGCAATAGCTAGCCAATTAGCTCGTCACTCCCCTTGATTTCCGTGTCTCGGGTCATACTACCTAAAATGGTCAACAAGGGAAAACTATGAGATAAACTCAGTAAGTAAAATATGGAGTGCCTTTATTAAACTTATAGCATGCCAACAAGTGCAATCATGAAAAAAACGGATACAGTACGGGAACGAAATAGACATCTCTTCTATAGGTCATGGCCAGTGTTTAAACCTCCCACTGGCAAGCTACACTATTGCTGGTGTTTAACCCCCACTAGCAGGGTCATTCAGACGAACCGGTTCTATCAATGACATATCGACATGTGCCAGCGTTTAACCCCCACTAGCAGGATCATCAATAACATAACCACATTGGAGACAAAACAGGCAGAAGTTAACAAAAAATCATTCTTTACAAATAACTTTCAGATCATCAGGGCAGTCAAATGAACTTCAAGTAGGCATGCTCAAATCCATAAAAATTATAAAAATTTTCAGTTCAAATCAATCATACTTATTTTTGTAATAAATGAGTTTAGTCCCGCCACCACTTCAAAAACAAGTCAAAACATGCTTTTAAAAACTGTACAGGTATTACCATAAATTTACTTACCTCACTCGCTTAAAACCAAAGGCTCGATCTCAGTACTAAATTGACAGAACAATCAGGAACCTTATTCAAAACATCCAAAAATTAATACCCATATAACACTACATACTTAATCCTTTTTCTATTGTTCCCGACCAATTCCCAAAATGCAATATTTATTACTTTTATTTTATTTATTTTCATTACCCAAGTTGTGTATATATATATATTTATATACACATTCATATATAATTTATTCTACTCCCACGGACAGAACAAAATAGGGGAATAGGACTTTATTTCATTTAATCCTATTTAGCAAAACAATAGCGAATCACGGGATTTTTCTCCAAGAATCGCAACAGCCCAAATCAACTAACCCTACATAAATTAAGCTAAAAACATGCCAAAAAGGCTACCAAATTCATTCCACCTTCCAGCACAATTTCACCTAAATTTCTTCCATTTTCGGATAGCAAAAAGGGCAATTCAAAAGCAGAAAATCCACTCAACACAAGGCAACAACTACATGGATAATTTGGACTTGGAGGAGCTGTCAACTTACCCAAAATTTTCCAGCTGCAGAACCCGACCTGGCGAGGGGAAGAGGCCAGCGGCAAATCTGCAGGGAAGACTCACGGTGCTACCCAAAATAGAAGAACAAAGAAATTAAGTAAACCCAACCTAAATCAAAGTTAAAGAGAGGGATTCATGGCTGAATCTTACCAGAAAAATGCCCAGAAATTCGTACATAGCAGCAGAAATTCGCGGACAGCAGAGGAGGAAGACGCAGAGCAACGCAGATCTGGAAATTTCTGGGTTTAGGAGAGTGTTCTAAGTCCTAAATCTTGTTATTGAACAAGAAAGAAGAGAAAATCACCAAGCTTTACCGGTTTTCTCAAGGGAGATGTCACCGGCAGCTGGCTTCTTTCTCGGGTTACAGGGGCGAGGAAGAAGAAGAGCAGAACGTGCAAGTGGCTGGAAGGAAATTTCTGGGTTTAAACCTTGTTCTCCATCAAGAAAGAAAAGGGAAAACTCAAGCTCTTTACCGGGGGAAGCTTCAGCGGCTTTAGGGGGGACTTTCGGGAGGCAGAGCATCGGGGAGAAGAAGAAGATGAGGAAGAGCGAAACACGTGGCTAAGGAGAGAAATATCAGCCTTGATCCTTATCCTAATTTCCTTTCTTTTAAGTCCTTGAACTTTGAAAATATTTGCTATTAAATTCATTAATAATATTTCTTCACAATTAGGTCCCTAACTCACTTTAATGCTCTAGAAATTTTGGGGTATTACATTTCTGGTCGAAGTAACAATTGCTAATGCTGCTTTGTCAGCAATAGGGTATCTCAGCTTTGCTCCGTGTAGCACGTTGTTGGTGTAATAAACTGGTTTCTACTATTTGCCTTCTTCTTTTACTAGTACAGAACTGATTACTTCATCAAAAATACCGAGGTACAAATAAAGGATTTCTCATCTATAGCTTTTGTCAGCAAAACATGTGAGCTAAGATAAGACTTTAGCTCATCGAATGCAGTTTGACATTGTGAGTTCCATTCAAATTTCTTCTGTTTGCCAAATTCATCCTTCTGGGCTGCTGATCTCATGATCTTGAAAAATGGCAAGCACTTATTTGCTGATTTCGATATGAATCTATGAAGAGCTACCACCTTCCCGGTTAATCTCTGTACGTCTTTCACCAACTTCGGCGATTCCATCTTGGCTATTGCTTTGATCTTTTCTAGGTTAACCTCGATTCCCCTCGTGGAAACCATGAAGCCTAGAAATTTCCCATACTCCACACCGAAAATGCACTTTGCTGGGTTTAACCGCATTATGTTTTTTCTGAAGTTGTTAAATGTTTCAGCGGGGTCAGCTAGATGATCCTCTACTTTCAGGCTCTTTACCACAATGTCATCGACATAAACCTTAAGATTCCTGTCGATTTGAGCTTAGAACATGATGGTCACCATCTTCTGGTAAGTGGCACCTGCATTCTTTAAGCCAAAGGGTATCATGACTATCATGACATAACAATAAATTTTATCACCTGTATAGAATGAGGTTTTCTCTTCATCCTTTGGAGCCATCGGGACTTAGTGGTAACTAGAATATGCATCCAAGAGACTTAATCTCTCATTTCCAGAAGCCACTTTAACCAATTTATCAATGCTTGGCATCGAATAACAGTCTTTGGGACAAACCTGGTTGAGATTCGTGTAATCGATGCACATTCGCCATTTACTATTTGCCTTCTTAACCAACACTGGGTTAGCCACCCATTCACAGTAATCAACTTTCCTTATGAAGCGAACTTACAGGAGGTTCTTTATTTCTTCCTTTATAACCTGAAACCTCTCCCCCCCAAAGAGGCATTGCTTCTGGGCTACTGGTTTCTTCAATGGATTGGTGCTGAGCTTATGTTGAGATACTGAGGTTGGAATCCCTGGCATGTCTACTGAGGTCCAAGCGAAGACATCTTTGTTAGCTCGGAGGAAAGCTATTAGCTCTGTTCTTTCCTTTGGGTTCAACCAAGTTCCAATTTGTGTCTTCCTATTTTGATATCTGTTATCAAGTTACACTTCCTCTACATTCTCAATTGGGGTAACTCTAGTTTCATTTTTAGGTCGGTTGTTTATTATCTCTACCCCCATTACCTGCTGATTTTCATGAACTTGTTGGGGAATGGTTTCTGATGTCTAATCTTTGCCTTTCTGGGGCCTTGTGATCGAGGTAACATAGCAATGTCTAGCCACCTCTTGGTTATCTTGTAATGTTGCTATCCCCATAGAAGTTGAGAACTTCATGTAGAAGTGAGATTGAGAGACCACAGCTCGAATCTCAGTTAATGTAGATCAGCTAATAACAACATTGAAGGATGAGGCCATTTTGACAACTAGAAACCGAACTGAAGGGGTAACATAAGTTCGGCCGCTTCCAAAAGCAACATTGAGAGCAGTGTTTTTGGACCCGGCCCGACCCAGTCGGTTGAATCGGTTGAACCGGACCAGGGCTTAAAAACGGGCCGAGCCAATACCTTAACCCGTTTTACAAGTTCACCCGTTTTGACCCGCTGGTGCCCGCTCAACCCGTTGAAACCACCTAACCCGTCTAACCCGTCGGGCTAAATGAATTTGAGTTTTTACTTTTTAATGAGTTAATACTAATTAAATTAATTTTTTTAATTTTTTTAACATAATTAGTTAATTACCCACACCATTAACTTTAATTAAAAATTAAAATCGCAACAAATTGCAAAAGCAAACCCAAGAGAAATTAAAAACAAAAGAAAG